ATTTTAAAAATATCTTTTCTTAGATTGATTTTTTAAGACTTAGAAACAATATATTTTAAAACTACGCTTTAAAATACCTACTTCAAAAACAGCATCACTAGTCCTAAATAGAAAGTATTATTAAAAAGGAATAACATAAACAAAACAGTATTATTAAATTCTGGATAAACCCACTGCATGCAAAGACTTGTGATTTAAGATTCATTTTTTTTGTTTGGTCTGTTTGTTCTTGTTTTGTCAAAAAAAAAAAAAAAGCGATTAGCAACTGTCAGGCACTGAACACAGATATGTACCAAACAGACTTTTCCCTCAGTAAATGCAGGCTAGAAAGAGAATTAAAAATGGAACCACTTCCACCCTTACATGATTCTTTAATGCCATGTCTTTGACCGTCAGTGTTAAACCTACACTTTGAACACTGCTGTGGAAGAAACTGGAGAACAGACCAAGGGGCTGGATTTGAGCTCAGCGTGCAATCTGAATTTGTTATATTAAAACAAGTCACTTTTCTATTCACCACTCCCCCATCCCTCATTCTTCTTATTTATAAAATGGAGAAATTGGTTATTTCGCTCTCAGAGAGTTTATTGCCTTTTTATGTGAAATAGTTTACCTTCATCATCATTATTTTCCAGACTTGGATTCAACCAACAAATCTTATTTGGAGCCCAAGAGTAAGCGCTGGGAGTAGAGTCAAGGGGAGCATCTGTGCTCTCATAAAGTTTATCACCTTTTCTTCTCCTCTTAGTACCCTTATCTTTTAAAAAACTAGAGTGAATTAAATACCTAGCTTATTTGTTTCAAAAGATTAGTGCAATTTAAAGTATATTTGAACCCAGAAGGTTTCCAAAACGCCCCACGCCTACCAAACTCTGCGCATCAACGGTTGAGATTGCGGTGGCAGTTTCCCCACAGCCCACTAGAGGGCGCGCACATTTTTCGATTCCAAAAGAAAGCGTTCTTTGGGTACTTGCCCCAGAAATTTGGAGCTGGTGTCTCCTTTCCTTACTGTCTTTTCAACTTGGGGCAGTTGTGGTGAGCCCTTGGTTCTCTCCCTCCACCAAGCCACCCTCGCCCCATGCAGTCACTCCTCGTCTGCCGTTACGGAGAATTCTTTTGCTCCCCAAACCACAGAAGTTTTGCTTCTGACTGTTCTCAGCATTTGCCCTTTTGACATTTTAGAAGAAATAAGATCCAAGTTTGATGTTGAAAAGAAAGCATTGATTTCTCTAGTGGGAGGATTTCTTCTCCCTATTACTGTTTTCCCTAGCTGTGGGGAAAAATCGCCTCTAAGGATTTAAAGCAGTTCCTTTGAGCTGAAGATCTTTCTGCCGGCTCACAGAGCTGCTTCTGAGCAGTTCTGGTGCTGACATTAGTCCCCTTGTTCGGCAGCATGTTGTATTTTTGAGACTCAGCCTTTTCCTCGGAGTTTTACATTCTGAATTGACAAGATCTTGATCTTAGAAACTGGACCACACACTCCCAGACCAACCCACCACACAAACCGTGAGCCAAGAGATAGGTCCAGTAGTTTACCCCAAGTCCTCTGCCTGCTGGATGGCCCCAGAACCTTACACCTCACCCATTATTTGGTTCCAAGGTCCTCTTACCTCCAGATACTCATCCTGAGCTTTTCTCAGGAGTCAGCACAGACATTCATGAAATAAGCTGTGAGTCTTCCCCATCACACGTGGATAAGAGATTACTTTTTGAATGGGAAGCTCTGCAGTTGACATGGGGAAGACTGGAAATGTGGCTCAAGCAAAAAGCGTGGAAGGTCCAGCACCTCCCATTTCTGTGAATCTCAGGCAGCCTGTGCTTTAAGGAGATGAACAACTTTTTTTTTTTTTTAAAGAAAGGTGTCAGAAGTCTTCTGAGATTGCAGCTTTATGCAAATACACTACTCAAGAAGGCGGCTTTAGGGGAGAGTTATTTATATCCCACAGGCATTACACATGCAAAAGGTGAAGCTGTGAATCTCTGCATTTCCAGGAGTGGATGTTCTCATGATAAGCGCATCCTTGCTATTTTGGTGGCACACCATTCCTATATCTAACTGTCAGGTTGTTCCAGGCAGGAGGCGACATAATCATTCAGTAATTTTAGAACGACCCTCTATGTTTCTCTCCAGTAGGGCTTCTTGACCTGAACTCTTCCTGAGGCTTAGATTTACTACCACTTTGGACCCTCTGGTAATAGGTGCCTTCATCGCTTTTTCTCCTAAACAGGTGCAGGACTCAGTCATTAAAGAGCCATCACATGGCACATTTATTGCCCTTTGGCTTTCAGGCTGACTCCTGGAATTAGCCAAGAAAATGGGCATTTCCTTAGGAATGATTGCTCACCCTACCCAGAAATCTAGACCATTCTCTGCACTGAAGTGTACAATAATCACTTCAGGAAATTGCTTTCCCTATTGGAAACTGAGAGCTCACATCGGAATGTTTCCACAGTACAGCTGATGATAATTACGACTCACTGAAATTTCAGTTTTCTTTTGATTGTGACATAAAAACTAGGACATAAATTAAAACCCAATTATTCTTTAAGGGTAATTGGGGTTATAAAACCAAGAGACTGTGAGTCAGTGTGTCGGTAACGCAGGAGCCCTGTGTCAGATGGAACGGTCTCCCGAAGCAGCCTTTCCCTCCAAATGGCTGGGGATAAGGTGATCCATGCACACGGCGCTCCAGGATAGCACATCAGACCAGGGGGAAGCCTTGGAGAGGGCAGTGAGCTCCCAGGACACCTTGGAATGATTCAAACAAGTGAAAACTAAAATGGGAACGCTGTGGCCTTCTACCGGTGAAGATGCCCAGTGGTGGAGCGAGGCACTCATCACCAAGTCTCTGCAGGCATGGAAATTGGAGATCTTTCAACCTGTGAGACAATCTGCACCTTCAGTGTCCATGAGAGGTAGCTGGGCTTTTTTCACAAAAGGTGTGATGTGCTGGAGCTGAAGGAAAAAAACCAAAAACTCAAACCCTAGATTTTTAGTGAACAATTCCTAAAGTTAAATTCATGAAGCGGGGCTCGTTAAAGGAGGTCTTGGATTCTTCTCACGGTACAGGACTTGCCCCCACACCTGAAGATGTCCCCCAGCATCTTGATGATGCGTATCTCTAGACTCTTCAGGTCAAACCACATCCCCTGAAACTTCCCAACTTTGCACTTCAAAGCCTCTCATGACACACCCCTCCTCCCCCATCCTGGATTCTCAGTAGTTTCACTTCCCTGTCTTTCCAGAGAAAGTGTGCACTTCTTACATTTTTAAAGGAGCACATCCCACCGCATGACCGCACTGTTCTCCTGTCTCTGCCGCTCCGTCGAAAGCCCCTGCGACGTGTGTAACTGGGCGCACAGTGGGCACACACTCACTGAACTCTGAATGTAGTGCCCTACTGAAATGGCATCACTCCCCGTGTCTAACTTGTCTTTCTCGAAGGTAAACACTGCCCCAAGTTTAATCACAGAGAAGGCTTGAGCAAACTCAACCCCCTTTCAAAACCAATCAGGTTTTCCTTTGAGGGCACCCACCTCTGCAAACAACTTCCTAGCCATGGCCGTAAAGACCCAGAAAAGAGTTTCAAGCAGACCTCTGTTTCTAGTCGAAGCACCAAAATCACTGTGTCCCCTGAGAATAAAGAGGGAGAAATGCAAAGTCCAGGCTATTCTGACCATTCCAGGAAACCATGCCCTGATAGACCCCAGGGAAAGTGGGATGTCTAACCTGGGCTTTTGCAATCTTATTTCATAACCCACTTTCTTATCTCCTCCTTCACAAAACTGATGAGAAATTGGTACAAATGCTATCGACAAAAGATCACAACTTGATCCTCAATGGCAAAGGCAAGTATACATTATAAATAGCAAAACAGCTGGCTTGGACCATGTTGCTGGCCACTCATCCAGCTGAGAGATTTGAATGACATCATAACCCTTGAGAGGGTATTGCTAGCCAGCTGGTGTTATTTAGAATACACAAAAAATGGGGGAAAGAAAATGCACTCACGTGCACACACACACAAATACACACACACACACACACAGGTTCAAGTTATGCAGAAAAATATGAACAATGGGAAAATCATTTGCCCCTCAGATGCCCTTCCCCTGGGGTGGGGTGGGGGTCGGGGTGGGGGCCAAGCAACAGAGGAGAGGAAGGAAGAAAAAGATTCGATTTTATTTTTTCAGTTGGCTTTACAGCTCAGCAAAATCTTTGCCCTGTCGTGGGCAAAAAGCATGAGACAGTGTCCTGAGGGGAGCCAATTACAAAGCTGCTGCCCCTTTCCAGGTTCTAGGAAATGAGATCATTCCCCTTACTTGGCAACTAGGACGAGGGGTCATCCCAGCGCTGTCTTCCACTCTAGTTTACCCCAGTCGTTTGAGGGTTAAAATCGTAGAGTATGCTTGAGATGGTCTTTTTTTCATTTCGTGTTTTTTAAATTTTGTGTTGGCTCTGGAATATAAAATTGCTCGCCCATCCTCCACGAATATTCCTTTCATACTGGTAAGGTGTATTAGCAGATGTGTGTGTCTTCGTGCCCGGGAGAAAGTTAATCAGAGGACAACATCAGTATTTTAATGTCTGCTCCTCTTGTCACTAACACACATTCTTTTAAGGGAAAAAAAATGCTTCTGTGCTCTAGTTTTAAAATGCAAAGGTATGATGTTATTTGTCACCATGCCCAAAAAAGTCCTTACTCGATAACTTTGCCAGAAGAGGGAGAGAGAGAGAAGGCAAGCGTTCCCCCAGCTGTTTCCTGTCTACAGTGTCTGTGTTTTGTAGATAAATGTGAGGATTTTCTCTAAATCCCTCTTCTGTTTGCTAAATCTCACTGTCACTGCTAAATTCAGAGCAGATAGAGCCTGCGCAATGGAATAAAGTCCTCAAAATTGAAATGTGACATTGCTCTCAACATCTCCCATCTCCCTGGATTTCTTTTTGCCTCATTATTCCTGCTAACCAATTCATTTCCAGACTTTGCACTTCAGAAGCAATGGGAAAAATCAGCAGTCTTCCAACCCAATTATTTAAGTGCTGCTTTTGTGATTTCTTGAAGGTAAATATTTCTTACTCTTTGAAGTCATTGGGGAATTTTCTTTAAATTGTGTACTGTTTGCTTCTGCTTAGAAATGTTCTTCACTTTAGAATTTTCATTGTTTCGGCACTGGGAGTTATTTATAAATTGCTGAATATGCAATTCTGTGGGATCTGAAAAAATAGCTCCGGGAGATAAATGCCTTTGCACAGATATCTGTATGAGTAAAAACTATTGCAAGGTACTTATGCTAAATCCTCCACTTCTTCAGGGCTTGAGTGGTGTCATTATAGAAGATTCCTTTAAATCCTGTCTACGGTTAAGGGCTATAGGGCATGGATATGAACTTTTGGATTTTTTTTGCAGGTGCAGATGTTTTATTTTTAAGACCATGTTCATGTGTATGTAGGACTGTGTGTGTGGTGTGTGTGTGTGTGTGTGTGTGTGTAACTTGCCAGGACTTTTGATTACAAGGCATGCCACATACAAAGAGTTACATTTTAAATGATATTAAAGCTTTTAAATACGATCTTTGGCGCTAAGGTCCCGGAACTCTCTGCACTTATGCCCAGAGAGTCAGAGTTAGAGTGAAGTTTCATTTGCTCTTCTGAAAAAGAACTGCTGAAGAACTCCTGCTGACCTTGCATATTCGGATAATTTAAACAAATGCACACTGTATATGGAAAGCGGAAACTTTCTAGCAACTGCTATTCCAAGTTTTTTCTTTTGAAGAGGACTCTCAGGGGCGAAGTTTGGACTTGGGGTTTTGTGTTGTAAAACTCGGATTTTGTGTTTGGGATTGTAAAGTCTCTTTAGGTAAATTTGGCTAGCGTTGTCAATGCACTGACTTCTCCTTTCCAATAACTGGCCCTAGTTCAAGTTTCTATTCTCAGCAAAATTATATCTTTCAAGACTTGTATTTTTCCAATTTGCAAGCACTTTTAAGCTGCTGTCACTGGCTCCCCGATGCAATTGCCTGTGGGCTCAATGCATGCTACGTCCCTACCGCTCAGTCCAGCTGCTTTCAAGTACTCCACCACTAGGACTTTTCTTAGTCAAGTCCGTGGCTTAGGAGTTAAGAATACATCCTTGTCGGGCACCTGATCCTGCCGCCTTTGAGATGCCAAGATGCCCACTGGCTACCTTGCTTTTAAAAGAAATGAAGTCAGTATACACATATGCTATGTGGTCTGACAGCTGAGGATTTTGTCTCCCTGCTTAGATGATCCTAAAAGGGACTATGTAGTGTTATCTCTGCATTAATTACAAGTTTGGAAAACTCCATATGAACTTTGCTGTGTATGCTGAACTTTTTAGAAGTAGAGCTAGCTAGCCATAAGTTGTTGCTTTTTCCTGAACTTGGAGCAGGAAGTGGTTTCAGGGAGCTACGTGGTTCTTTCAAATGTAATTCAATGAGGAAAGGTGTCTGCCAGGCAGAGCTCACAAGCTGATTCTACTGTGAGTCTCAAGATATTTCCAAGTGTTTGAGTCAGAGGGAAGAGGGCACAGGGGAGGACTGGAGCTTGGGTCCCTGTCCAGGCTGGATACCATAGGCACACGATGGAAATCGGTGGCTTGACTGGGAGGAAAAGATTGACTCAAATCCCAGCCGTGCAATTTGTTTATTGTCTGAATGGACAAAAGGCAGTTCACCCAGGCTCATAGCATACCTGCCTGGGTGTCCAAATGTAACTAGATGCTTTCACAAACCCCACCCACAAAGCAGCACATGTTTTTAAGTCCTCAGTTTTCTATTCACATCAGTCTCATAATACCCACCCTGACCTGCTGTAAAAGATCTGGAACAAACAAAAATGGTTACACCTACAGTGAGTATTTTCTTATGACTACTGCCCTCAAATTTTGCTGGGCATTTTTATTATAACCCAGACATCTGGAACCAATTGATATTCCATTTATTTAAGATAGAAAGAAAGGTCTTTAAAATTTTAGATTTGTGAATGATTTTTGAGAAAGAGTGCTCTGGAAATTTTTTTTTGTCTTCTTTTTCTAGTTCTTTTTTCATTTCTTTCTTTCAGATCTCTCCTTTCTCTCTCTTCATTTCTTTTCTGTTTGGAAAAATAAAAGGCCAAGGAAATGATGAACATATGGGGCCACTCATTTCAAACTTTTAACTCCTAAGCAAGTTCTTTATTGTTTTCTTTTGGGGGAACATAATGTGATAAATTCTCTGGTTCTCTGTGGATGTGATGGACTGTTTCCTGAACTAAAAGAAAATGCACTAGAGGTTCTATCTTGTCCTAGAACTATAAGTGCTGATATTTATCTGAGAACATAACTCAGCAAAAAGGGGGAAAAGGGAAGAAAGAAAATGGGAAAATCTGTAAAAAATAAATCTTAAGTTCTTAAATGCCAGAGACTGATAGGTATTGCTGAGTTTAAATGTGTTATACAAAAGAAATAGCTATTAAAAGTATAATGTTGACATCTAATGAAGTTCTCAATTCCCTAAGGCTTTAAGTTGAGTTCCTTTTTCCCTGGATTTCACAACAACTGAAGAACCTGAAGGCATCTACAGTTGCAGGTGCTTTGCCTTAAGCTTCACCATTAACTCAACAGAGACGGGAGTGATGGAGAAATAGGACTGGCAAAATAACATACGTTCTAGAACTGGCTGGTTGCCAGAGTGCGGGGTATGTTCTGTAAGATCAATTATGAGTGTTCTCTTTTAAAAAGGGCAAGGAAGTCCAGTTGGCTTGGACTTGTTGAGATTTCCACTGGAAATACTGAAAGGGAAAACTCCCACCAATTATTTTATAACTAAGAAAGATGAGGATTGGATGACTTGTTTCTAGCAGTCCCTGTGGCTTTGGCTATGTGGGGGTGGACGGTTTCCATGAACAGGTCCTATGGAGAAAATGGAAGAAATTCTCCATCAAGCTTTCACCTCCTCTTCTAGTTTATGTCTATTATTTATGATGATTTGCAAATAGAGGACGCTTTTCATCTTCAACTGTTTTACAAGCATTAACTAAATATTTACGTTGTGTTAACGAGAATCAGGGGTTTAGGGTTTTTTTCCCCAGTTGCTGAACTGAAAGTCTGGCCACAAAAATGGAAATCTTAATTACAGTGATGGAGCAAACTTTGCCACTGATGTAGAGAGCCATTAAGAGTCCAGGGAGGGCAAGGAAGGTGGTCGGAAAATAAATGACTGAGACTGTTTCTTTGAAAGTGGTGGAGTTGAATGGACCTGCCACCACTGGGATGTTCAGAAAAGCTTCTTTTCATAATGATAGTTTCCAGTTTAACTCTATGACCTTTTGTTAGGGTCCCTGGTTTAACATCCTGTCACTGACTCTGCTGATACTGCTGAAAGTAAATGCATCCAAGAGGGATAAAGCTACTCACCTTGGGAGGCTTCCTAGAAGAAACCACATCTTTGTGCCACAAGTAGCAATGTGGAAAAACTTAATGATCACCTTTACATTGTCTCACTGCTGAGAGCAAGGATGGAGACTTGAGCCACAGGAATCCTGCCTTTGGCAGGGCTGACAGTTGGCTGTCACTGGCTAAGTCAAGCCAACCAGGGGTCTCTGCTATAAAAAGGATACAGTGACACTCAAGTCCCTCCAACAGATGAAGTCAGAATTCCTGAGACTTAAAAAAATAAAAAAGCTTTTTGCAGATTTTGAGCCCAGTTCCCTGTTTGTGGAAGGCACTGTCTACACGTGTGTTGATCTGATATTGAGCTTGACACAAGGGGCTTTAGAATGCAAAAGGAGTCGGGTTTACTTACCATAAACCGGTTTCATTCTGAAATTCTCAGATGTTTCCTGTTCCTGGTTTTTAACTTTTACTTGTAGTTGTTAACTGCTGATGTTCAGTAGGTAAGAAATCTCTCAGTCTCTCTTTCTCTCCTTCTGTTTCTGACTCTGCCTCTCCTAAGTGGAAAAAAAAAGCTATAATGATATATAGTATTTTCACAAGTTCTTTTTCAGCTGCAGTAAATTCTCTTTAATCAGTAGCTGGGGAATGACGTTCTGGTTGATTTAATATTCTGGTCAGTAATGAATGCACATGCCATCTGTAAATGGCCAATTTGAGAGAATTTAAATTAATAAAACATATCTGGTCCCAAGTCTGGACTGAGCACAAATTAACCTTTGATGATTCCAAAGGTTTATCAGGATCTCTGAGTGGTATGCAATAAGAGCATCTTTCACCTTCACACATTAAATGTTTCAGGACATTTATCTCATTGAATTGTAATAGGAGCCCATAAAGAAAGGGTTCAAGAGGGACTTCCCCAAGGTTTCACAGTAGCAAGAGGATTAAAGTCAGATAGCATGATGCCAAGACCTGCTCAGAAGTCACTCACACACCTTGTTGCACTCCTGAGGGGATAGTTTTGATTAATAACAGTAATGCAGAGCTGGGGTGAAGGCACTTTTGCCTTGCCCCCACTGCCCTGGCACGGAGGCAGGAGGAAGATGACCCTCCTTCTGCTTTTTCAGCAGGTGAAGATGCCCGTCACATCCTCCTCGCATCTCTTCTACCTGGCCCTGTGCTTGCTCGCCTTCACCAGCTCTGCCACGGCGGGACCCGAGACCCTCTGCGGGGCTGAGTTGGTGGACGCTCTCCAGTTCGTGTGTGGAGACAGGGGCTTTTATTTCAGTAAGTAGCCTCCCCCTCGCTGCTCTGTGGGTTTACAACTGTGGGGAGTGTGCAAAGAACTGAATGACTGCCTGTGGCTGGCAGCCGTCCTTGGCCTCCAAGATTCCTCACCTTAATGCGAGCCTAGTGTTTCGGCGGGGCCGTGGCACATTCTGCAGATTTTGGATGGAATTTTCCTCCGTAGCTGTTTGTCTTTTAACTACTTCCCGCTAGGCTTTCCCGCAACTATTCTGCTCTGCCCTCACTATTCCATTCTTTCCAGGGAAAAGACAGGACAAAATGGCCCTGGGGGACTGAAGTTTTGGTTTTCCAGATCTGTGGGTGCACGTAATGACATATGTGAACATGTAGGGATGTTTTAAGTGCTAGGTCACTTGGAGGAAACTAGGAAGGTGGACTTGGCAAAGAGGCACATCCCAGATGTCCCCATGTGATATAAAATCACCCCGAACAGGCAGAAGGTGAACATCGCCGAAAGGCACATTTGCAAAGACACAGGCTCTCGCTCAATGCAAACTGAAACGCTGAGTTCATTTGCCCTCGGTTCACACTGACCTTGAGTCTTCGCTGTTGCCTTCTTTGATGTCACCCTTCTCTGGGGCTCTCCAGTGATGCCTCCATCTGGAAAAGGGTTTCTGACAAGTGTAAGGTCACTTATTCCAGAAGTAGGTCTCAGGTGATTAAAAAGTCAACAGTCAATAAAAAGTAGACAGCCAAGTCCACGTTTGCAGATAAATAATAAACACAAACGGGAGTCCCTGCTGCCTTGAGGGAATGGATCACTTAGAGAACACACCTCAGAGGCATCTGGCTCGTCTGTGTTACAGGACACTGAGTGATGGAAAGCCATATGCTCGTTCTGTTTAATTCTTTGCAAATTTAGAGAGTTTCAGGAGACTGACACGCAGGTCTTCAGGACCGTGAATCATTCTTAGAGGTTCATGTGGCTTAAGTGTAGACAGCTTACCTCAGTTACCCACTAGGCTTTGAATAGCTCCTGTGATGACTCACACACTTCCAGTCTCTCTCCTCTTCCCAGGAAGGTGTGTGTGTGAGAGAGAGAGACTGGGAGGAGTGGTCTGTGAGCGTAGCAGTCTGGGATGGGTAGGGAGAATGGGAAGGAAGAGGCTGATAGGCAGGTTGATGGTCTGTACTCATTGTAGATTTGGTGACAAATAGCTTTTCAACAACTAGTGACAGAGAGTGAGAAGTGCTTTCTACTCTTTGAATGGGCAAATTCTCACCCTCTGTTTCCAGCCAATGCTTTGAGTGAGTTCATTTATTTTTCTGGCAATAGAGCAATTCTGTCCCATTCTCTGTTTCTGTGCAGACGAATGAGTTCATTTGGTGAGTGCTTTTCGAATAGCAGACCCGTTTTACCTTCAGAGTATCTGGCAGAAGGCAAATGTGTCACATCGACATCACCCGGCGATGGCTTGTCACTACTCTTTACTTTGCTACTACTGAGCCACATTGTAAAAAATGGATAAGTGGGTCTCAGCTATTATGCCCAAGAGGATTTTTTTTTGCTTTGATAATCCATTTGTGCCATTTCTTTTTATCCAGTTCACTAGGTGATGGCCGAGTCCCCAAGTATCTTGGGTTATGTGCCAGGTTGAATTGCCACGTTTGATGTGACATGCTCCAGGATTTCCATGCACAGTGCATGAAAACGGGATCTTTCTATGACTGTGATGCTTACAATTAAATGACAAAAAATGAGAAAGAAAAAAAATAATTTGATCCCAAGTTACCCTTTGATACTTATATATGTTCACACAAAGTATTAAGGGTATTGGACAACTATGATGGAAACTGATTACAACTCACTGGAAGGCATTCTATTATTCAAATGATCAAATTTTACAAATGTGTTTTAATTCTCTCTTAATTTGAAAGGGGAAGGTTCTACATGGCAACTCTTAATGTATAGAATATAACTTTGGATAGAAAGTGGTTTTATAAATTGTGTTTTATTATTAAGAGTCTAGGTTTCATAAGTTCTGGTTTATAGAACTCTGTGGCAATGTAAATTATTTGTCTGACATAAACTTTCATGCACAAAAGTATTCTTGTTAATTTTCTAGTCAACTGGACTAGGCTTTTTGCCCAAGAGAAGTTAACCCCTTTAAATTGTTTAATTCAGAACATTGATGGAACCTCTGCTATGTGTAAGAAACTATACAAGGCATTAGTGAGATACCTGGAAATGAATGAGAGATTAACTTTGCTTTCAAGGAACTCACAGTCTAGTTAGGAGGTTAAAAAAATAAAAAAGTATTATCAAGTATCATAGAGGAAAATAATTATGGAGGAAAAATGCAATCCTTTATGCATTTCCTAAATACTTTTCCCATTTTTAAAATCAGCTGACCAGGATCTACCCTCTCAATGGGCTCCTTGATACCAAAGACCAGATTGTTTACCACTGAACCCCAGTATCTAGCTCAATGCCTGGCTGATATAGCTGCGGCTCAAGTTTGGTTGTTGAACTGGCAGGACTGAATTGATTGAATCCCATTGAATGTAATGGCATGACTTGTTTGAGATCTTAGTCTTTAGAATCATCAAGAATTAGGTTTGTCAGGTACTTTGGACAATTCTTCTTGCCTCATATTTACCCAGCTATTTGATAAAACTTTATCTTTTTTCAACTGAATACAATGTATACCAACAATGACTTAGAGGTGGCATTTAGATCCTCCCTAAGCTACACTGATGGTCCGTTTCACATCTGAGCCAATTATTCTTAAAGGCATTAACTGTTGTCAACAAATATTATTGAGTTTCCTTTTTGTCGCTTGAGATTTACTGTGTGTGAAGAAGTCAGCTCTAAGCATTTACAGCCTTTGAAATACTTTTTAGAGGAAAGTAGTCTTCCCTACCTCTATCCCCTGTCAATTGACTCTTATTATAGTTTTTACCCTTTTCAAAGTTTTATTGTGGCTGCGTTCTTCGTTTTAAGCTGCATCAAATCCATTTTGAACGTATGTATTTTTTTAACTGTGGAAGGGGGCTTCTGATCTTAGTTTGAAATGCAAACATCTAAAAAAATGTTATCTCCATATCTATCTTTTTTACTGGGCCAGAATATTTAACAAGGGGAATTTTTAACCCTATTAAGAGACAAAACTATCCTGAATAACTTTTATTTTTTTGATAACACTTAATTTTGTATTGACCAACCCAATGCTCTAAACGAGCTCCTATTTCTCTACAAGCCTCAGTTCCACTAGAGCACAGAGCATGCCACCTTCTCGATTATCTGTTTTGTGACCATCTTCCCAGCATAAGTGCATAAGTTCCTCTATAATTAACACAGCTTCACCAGACATTGCATGCAATGAAAGTTGCAAAGAAGAGCTTAGTACTGATTCTTCCCTATGTATCATAGTAAGAGAGCATGTCAACCAGTCTTGTACTTTCATAGTCTTGGGAGAAAAATGGTGGCCTAATGGAGTTGGCATATTGGGAAGGAGCTAGCTATTATCTTTCCAGATTGATGGAGGAGCCTCATAGAGAGCAGTTTGTCACAACCTTGCTGTGGCGTGGAACAGAACAAGAGGAAAAGAGCTTCAAGTGAAATAGGAGAAGTTCAGCTTGCCATAGATACTATTTTTGACAGTCATGGTGTTTAACCATTTTAACATGTGCTTTAGAGGCTTGTGGAATTTCTCTCCTTGAAGATACTTTTAAAATTGACAGACAACCAACCACCTTGAATGGTTTCAATTAAGAGCAACCAAAAGAAAGCGAGTTTCTGGGGTCCTTTTTAGTTTTAAGAGTCTATAAACAGTCCCTTAAATAAACTGTATATGCTTTATCTCTGCGGTCTGGGAAAAAGGAGAAGTAAATCAATTAGAAAGGAAAGTTGGATACCCTTTTGGTTAGTCCAGATTTATAGCTTTTATAAAATATACTTCCAATGCATACTTATTAAGAACAGGTCTGAATAAATGAATGGCATTCTTCATGTGTTAAAACATACTGTTTTATAAAGAGTTTAAGTAAAACTTTACAATGAATTTCATTGTTATTGATTGCAACAACCTTCCTAGATTGAGGTTATTATTATTAACTCAAGCTTCTTTCATTTGAAATATAGTGCTCAGAAAACTGCTCCCAGACCTGTCATTCATTAGCTGTATGACTCTGGCAGGCATTTAAACTTCCTGGGCCAAAATGTCCTTGTCTATAAAACAAGGGGATTTTGTTCAAGTAAATGACCTCTTCTAACTTTTAACAGACTCATAGTCTAGGTTGTAATTAACAAGGATTTGGTACTATTCAAGAAAGGAGAATCTTGGATTTAAATAGTGACCAAAAAATGTTTTAGACTCCTTTATCTTCTTCACATAGTTTCTGTTCATCCCCAGATAGGGGACCCCACCTACTTAAAGCAAGAGAAGCCAGTGCCTTTGTTTTAGTTTGTTTTAAGCTGAGTTCCAACCCCTCAGGGATGGAATAGAAGCTCAGACATGACCAAATACATGCAAGTTATCTGGCCAAAGGAGCACACACCTCATGAAAACAGATGGTCATTGTTCTTTGCTAGGAAGGACTCACTGACAGTTCTCATCTTTACATTTTTCCAGTCTCCTGAAAGTGAGGCCAGTTAAGTAGGTCAGTTTTTAGCTGCTCTTTATAAATTAGAGGGCAGATTGAATCTGTAGTCTTCTAAACCTTGACTAAAAGCCTTTTCCCAGGCTATGGGGACTGCCTATCCAATTAAAGAAGAGAGTACAGCACTGGGGACATCCAAAGACACACTCAGCCACCATGAGCATTGCTTTGAGTGGGGCCGGATTTGAGCTACACCGTTTGCATTCCTTGGCTTGGCAACCCTTAGACCTCCAGCTATGCATTTGTGTGACAGCTGGTCAAAGTTAGAGGTACAGTCACTGGCTGTTACTTTCTCTTTGAAGCTAATTGGAACATGTGGGATTTGACCTTGGCCCTGGCCTCATTAGCACCACTAAGCTAACAGGCCACAGAGATTC